TACAAGGCTTTCCACAAGATTTTGGAGTGTGTCTGTGGGAATTTGCGTCCTTTCAGCCAAAAGAACCTTTGTAAGGTCAGGTTCTTGTCTTGGACAAGAAGACCTGGCTCACAACTGGTGACCCAATTGATCCCAAAGTTCTGGCTATCCACAGGGGTGATGTCCCTCTTTTTTAGGCACACAGCTGCAGACTATGTGGAGGAAGCTGAGTGTCAGAGTAGCCCAGGCTGCACCGGGATCCCATCCATAACCAGTACAGTGAACGTGGATGGTGCTCTACGTTGTCGCTCTCTACTGGGCACCATTCACAAAGACACTGCAAACATGAACTTCCTTTTTCTACGTCTTACCGGAGGACTGATAGAGCAGTTTCTGATGGTCGTGTCTCGGGGCTCTTTGGGAAATGCAGCGGCGTATCCTGTAAGACAACAGCTTGTTATTGGGGGAAGGAAATACATTCCAAGAAGCATTTTAAAATGTGTAAAAAAAAAAAACAGTTCAAAGGGAAATCCACTTCTTTCTAACAAAAATTAAAGTAAAAAAAACCCAGCAATACCTGTAAAGAAGAGAGAAACATACTTCTACCTGCTTCCTGCCTGGGAGATTTCTATTTACTTCCTGTTACAAGGACACAACAGGAAGTGAGAGGAAATATCTCCAAAACAAGGGGCAAATCTCATTTAGGCGACTGTCACCAGAACAAAGGTCCCCATTGGAAGATTTGTCCTCACGTTTTGTTCAGGGAGGACTCTAAAGGACCAGTGAGGACTCAAAGGGTCCAGTGAGGACTCAAAGGGTCCAGTGAGAACTGTAATAGTCCAGTGAGGACTGTAAGGGTCCAGTGACAACTGTAAGGGTCCAGTGAGGACTCCAAGGGTCCAGTGAAGACTCAAAGGGTCCAGTGAAGACTCAAAGGGTCCAGTGAGAACTGTAAAGGTCCAGTGAGGACTCAAAGGGTCCAGTGAGACCTGTAAGGGTCCAGTGAGGACTGCAAGGGTCCAGTGAAGACTCAAAGGGTCCAGTGAGAACTGCAAGGGTCCAGTGAGAACTAGGTCCAGTGAGGACTCAAAGGGTCCAGTGAGAACTGTAAGGGTCCAGTGAGGACTCTAAGGGTCCAGTGAGGACTGTAAGGGTCCAGTGAGAACTCTAAGGGTCCAGTGAGGACTGTAAGGGTCCAGTGAGAACTCTAAGGGTCCAGTGAGGACTGTAAGGGTCCAGTGAGAACTCTAAGGGTCCAGTGAGGACTGTAAGGGTCCAGTGAGAACTCTAAGGGTCCAGTGAGGACTGTAAGGGTCCAGTGAGAACTCTAAGGGTCCAGTGAGGACTGTAAGGGTCCAGTGAGAACTCTAAGGGTCCAGTGAGGACTGTAAGGGTCCAGTGAGAACTCTAAGGGTCCAGTGAGGACTGTAAGGGTCCAGTGAGGACTCTAAGGGTCCAGTGAGAACTGTAAAGGTCCAGTGAGGACTCAAAGGGTCCAGTGAGAACTGCAAGGGTCCAGTGAGAACTAGGTCCAGTGAGGACTCAAAGGGTCCAGTGAGGACTGTAAGGTTCCAGTGAGGACTGTAAGGGTCCAGTGAGAACTCTAAGGGTCCAGTGAGGACTGTAAGGTTCCAGTGAGAACTCTAAGGGTCCAGTGAGGACTCTAAGGGTCCAGTGAGAACTGTAAGGGTCCAGTGAGAACTGTAAGGGTCCAGTGACAACTGTAAGGGTCCAGTGAGGACTCCAAGGGTCCAGTGAAGACTCAAAGGGTCCAGTGAAGACTCAAAGGGTCCAGTGAAGACTCAAAGGGTCCAGTGAGAACTGTAAAGGTCCAGTGAGGACTCAAAGGGTCCAGTGAGGACTGCAAGGGTCCAGTGAAGACTCAAAGGGTCCAGTGAGAACTGCAAGGGTCCAGTGAGAACTAGGTCCAGTGAGGACTCAAAGGGTCCAGTGAGGACTGTAAGGTTCCAGTGAGGACTGTAAGGGTCCAGTGAGAACTCTAAGGGTCCAGTGAGGACTGTAAGGTTCCAGTGAGAACTCTAAGGGTCCAGTGAGGACTCTAAGGGTCCAGTGAGAACTTTAAGGGTCCAGTGAGAACTGTAAGGGTCCAGTGAGAACTGTAAGGGTCCAGTGAGAACTGTAAGGGTCCATTTACATGTTTGTGGTCCATTATTGTTTGTGTTTCAACTGTTTGTTGAGTGTCCTGCTAATGCAGTCCATTGAAATGAATGAAGGTTACCCCAGTGTATCTTTTTTTTGTAATGCAACACAGATATGTGACCTTAGGCCTAGACTAGGGCAACACCCCTTGGATTGTGTCCAGGGACAAGCCTGTCATTCACTTGAATGGGCACAGAGGCCGTATCTGTACAGGCCCACCTGAGATTCCTGCGGCAAGATTCTACAGGTTCTTGGAATCCCAGCCACATATAACAGCCCCATGTGCATGAGGCTTTAGTGCATTGGGGTGCCATTAGGGTTGCCACCTTTTCTTCAAGTGAAACCTGAACACTCTAGCAACACTCTGGCATTTTTGGGGGGAGAATGAGTCACAGATTATTCATATGTAAATATCACAGTTGAGACTATTTTCAGTGGGGGGGCCAGTAGCCCCGATCTTAATTTTGGTTGCCCTTGTCTGCCTGACTTCTTGTATCCGGGTTTCAGCTGCCATGAAAACCGGGAGACAGCATTCAAAACCCGGACTGTCCGGGCGAATCCTGGACATGTGGCAACCCTAGATGCCATTTAAAATGAATAGCACCACAAGGCAGTAATGCATGTTATGCGCCTTACCACGCATGGCGGTATCATTACCACAATTCGTTAGTGTAAATGGGCCCACAGATGTTGCATTTCCCATTACTTTCGGTACTGGAGACAATGACCATAGAAGAGATAGAAAGGGTGAATCTCCCCAGCAGCAATGAAGACCTGAGAGGGGGGTCAAATGGGGGAAAATAGTCCTGGCTTATCATGCACCTTAATACTTCTCCATTACTGACGCAGAAGACAGAACTTTGCATGCAGGTTGCCGACTCAAAAGTTAATGACAATCTGGAATTAAAGCGACACATTGTGATCTAAAACTGCAGCCCCCCCCCC